GCGGGGGCCGGCGGCTAGAGTGAGGAACGGCCGGCGGGCTGAGTGAGAGGAGGCCGGTGAGCTTGAGAATGGCGCGGGCGGCGGATTCGACGAAGGAGCGGCCGGCGGGCTTGCGGCAACCACATGTGATGACCCCAACCTGGACTCCACTTCGTCCACGGTGAAAGCCAATCCACCGCGCGAAGTTGATGTATTTCCTCAGCGACCAGCACGGATCAGCTCTAGGCATGACAAAGTGGATATGGTCCTCTTTTGGAAGGCCAAACAAAGTAGTTTCGCTTTCACAACGAAACACAGCATCTCCACGGCATGGTGGCGGCAACAATACTACAGCGAGAAAAAAAGTTACACCTTCTTTCTTTGCATGAACATTTGGGCAGCATTATGCAAATCTTTCCACATCGTGACATAGACATGTGGGGGCGTGTTAGAATGAACCGTTTTAGGTAGGCGTGGTTGACTCTTAACTTTTATAAAGAATATCTCTTTGGATTTGAGACTTTAGTCTTTGCAACTTTACAGATCTTCTTTGTGCACCAAGAGCTTGTAACACTTCATAGAGGAAGGAAAAATTTAAATCGCATCATATGACCCCTTTAAAAAAGGGCCCATGCATGACATGGGTGGTCAACAAATCAAAATGAATTGCATTTTATTTGAACAAATTTGTTTTAATTAGCTCTTGTTGAGCAGCTCACACAGATTTTCAAAACAGCTCAAAGTTTTAGATGGACAAAAATGCCTCAAAATATGTTTTTAAAAGTAAAACAACACTTTTACTATCTAGCATACATTTCCATAAAAAATAAACAGCACCAGATGCAAGAAAGCAACTAAATGTTCTTCAATTTAAAACAAAACAAAACAAGAAAACACAGGAGCAGTCAGGCCCACACATTCACACAATAAAGCCCCAGTGTTTTCACTCATCCACAGTGTGGATTCCCAGCAGCCACTAATCATATCCTGTTAACGCTGTGGGCCTGAAATGGATCCCAAAGCAGCGGCCTGCTCAACGTGCCATTAAACTGGGATTTCCCCACTCACGGCTGCCCTTCTCTCAGCCCCATCACCGGCACTCAGCACCTCCATTAACAGGTTCACACAGGTGCCCTCAGCTTCCACCATACTGCTACACAAAGAATAACAATAGCCGACATTATAGAGAG